CACCAGGGGACCCTGTCCAAAGACTGGTCGGTGAAGCCCCTGGCCGAGAGACGCGAGGCCAGAGGTTCAGCTGGTGAGCGGCGTACCGAGCCGCGTAGGGCCACAGAAAATGGGGCGCGCGGGCGTGGATCATGGAGGTGCGGGCAATCTCCATGACCAGGCCTAGCCGGCGCTCAGCAACCCCATTCTGCTGTGGAGAGTCTGGAAGAGTCCAGGACTGGGTGATGCCCTGCTCAGCACAGAATCTGGCGAGAACGCCGGAGCGAAACTCACCCCCACGGTCGGAGTGGAGACAACTGACACGACGACGACGAGTACTCTCGGTGGCGAGCAGCCACCGGATCAGCGTAGAAGTCACGTCGGACTTCTTCGCCAAAGGGAACACGGTGGTGTACCGAGAGTAGTCGTCAACGACCACTAGAAAGAAGCTCTCTCGCTCAGGGCCAAGCCGGGAAGCGGGGCCCCAGACGTCTAAGTGGAGTGTCTCAAAGGGCTCGGAGGCTGGACGAAGGGAGGAGGAGTGAGGAGTGGCGCGCAGCCGACCCTGGACACAAGGACCGCACGGAGGAGCGGGGGACGGCGGGAGCGGCGGGAGGTCGCGGGGGAGGCCTAAGACAAGACGCTGACTGGACATAGCGCGGAGACGAGAGAGGGACGGGTGACCAAGGCGGTGGTGCCAGAGGAGGACAGGGTGGGACAGCGACCGACACGAGCACGACGCAGCCACTAGACCTGGCACAGCTACCTGACTGGACCTGGCTACCTGGTGGGACGGGGGAACCGGACGGGTGTCGGTGTGGAGGGTGTACAGACCAGAGCCCGACTCCTGACGAAAAGTGGCCAGAGGGGCGTACGTGTCACCGTCCACACAGACTGCAGTGTCACCAGAAGGCTCAAACCAGACCCCGACGTGCTGTCTCGCCAGAGGAGCCACACCAACCAGGTTCCTAGAGAAAGTAGGAACGTGGAGGCCGGTCAGAGAACCGGAAGGGGCAGCTGGGCACGGGAGGGTAGTGGCGTGAGTCGCAATGACTGGTCCTGAAGAGGGATCAGCCAGTGCTACAGGAACCGGCGCCGAGAGTGGAGTAAGAGTCGTGCTGTCGCGGAAGAAGCACTGCGTCGCTCCGGAGTCCAGTGTGAAGGAGAGCGACGCGTCCGCCGAGGGAGCACCTGTACTAGTAGCTAGACAGGATCCTACACCAGCACCTACTCTAGCAACAGGCAAAGATCCTACGCTAGGTACAGGCAAGTAAACAGATCCAGCAGCACTATAGTCAACATCAGCATACATCGCATAAGACCTAGCATCATCCATAGACATATCAAACACCGCAACACCACGAGCAAGGAGTGGTCCCCAGCGCGGTGGCGGGGGAGCGGAGGGGCCGTGGTGCAGGACGTACAGGTCGTCGAGACGGCTGAAGCAGCGTGCAGCAGAGTGGTCAGGGCGGCCGCAGTACGTGCCCCTGCGCGGACCCGTCAGGATCCAGTACTCACAGGGACCAACGTCGCGGCCGGCCGAGCGGGGTCCCCGACTAGAAGGGGCACCACTGCGCCCAGTGCTCGGGGGGCCCGTAGGTCTCCACTGCTGCGAAGGACCCCACTGCTGCTGAGTGCCCCACTGCTGCTGAGTGCCCCACTGCTGGGGCTGCTGCTGAGGCGGACGCTGCTGCTGGCCCTGGCGCTGCTGCTGCTGTCCCTGCCGCTGCTGCTGTCCAGGCGGTGGCAGCTGCGGAGGAGTCTGCTGCTGCTGCTGCGGAAACCCCTCACCACCGTCTAGAGGAGAGCCGTCAGGTCCCGAGTCACCCCCGCCGCCACCCCCGCCACTAGTACTACCGCCACCGCCGCCACCCGCAACACCCCCAGAACCCCCGCCGCCCTTCCCTCCCTTCTTGCCGGACTTGCCACGTTTCTGTCCGCCAGAGACAGAAACGGCCGCCGTCTCCTCAGAGGCAGAAGACGCGGCAGTGGCAAGCGAGGCAGTGAAGGTGGGAAGCTGTGGTACCGCACACCCCTCAAAGAGACGAGGAGGAGGCGCGGAAGAGGCGGAGGCAACAGCGAGGAGGTTACTCTCGATCTTCGAGAGAGCGGTCTCAAGAAGATCGATAGTAAGCTCAGTGGGGTGCTTCAGGAGAAGCGCGTCGCGGGCTGTGGCTAGACGGTCAGGGAGGCGAGTGACTAACCAGTGAATAGTGAGCCACATGGGGGGGGGTGCAAGGGCAAGCTGTTCCTCAGTGCAAGCGGCCTTGAAGCGAGCTTCAAGGGAGCGCAGGTGGGTAGCGAGGTCAGCGACAGTCTCAAAGGAGGCGAGGTCAGGGTAGATAAAGGGGACGAGAAGGCGGCTGAGGGAGGCAGAGGAGGGAGTGGAGTAGCGAGCAACAATAGCAGTGTAAAGGGCTGCAGCAGACTCGACCTGAGTGAAGTGGACGGCCTCAGTCGGCGGGAGAAGGTCGGTCAGGGCGAGGCAGGCAGCAGCGTCACGAGACTCCCACACGTCACGAGCGAGGAACCGGCGCTGGTACTCAGCCTCCTGCTCGGAAGTAGGCGGTGGGGTAGTGGGCAGCGGTGTAGGCTGCGGCGGGGCGGGCAGAGCACCGGACGCATGCGCAAACAGGTGCACGCCATCCTGGCGCTGGCTCCTAAGGTGGCGCTGGGCCTGCGTCAGCCAGGTACTAAAGTCGATCGCGCGCCCCTCAGGGTCGAAACGGAGCACGCGAGACGTCGCCATGAGGGGCGAGAACAAGTGATAGCGGCCGCCAGCCGCGAGAGGAGGAGGAGAGGGAGGTGAGTGCGAGGCGGGTGCGCGCAGGCGGGGCGCGTTCTGGCTGGGCGCGGGGCGGCGGGGCGCGCGCTGGCGGGGCGCGCTGGCTGGCGTGGCGCGCGGGCGCGGCGCGCTGGCGGGCGGCTAGGCAGGGCGCGCGCTGGCGTGCGCGCCGGCGGGGCCCGCTGGCGCGGAGCGCTGGCGGGCGCGCTTGCGGGCGCGCTGGCGTGCGTGCTGGCGGGCGCGCTGGCGGGCTCGCTGGCGGGCGCGCTGGCGAGCTCGCTGGCGGGCGCGCTGGCAGGCGAGCTGGCGGGCTCGCTGGTGTGCCCGCTGGCGGGCGCGCTGGCGGGCTGGCGTGCAAGCGGGCTGGCGCGCAGGCTGGCCGGCGCGCTGGCGCGCTGGTTGGCTGGCGGGCTAGCGCGCTGGTTGGCTGGCGCGCTGGCTGGCTGGCGCGCTGGCTGGCTGGCGCGCTGGCTGGCTGGCGTGCGCGCTGGCTAAGGGCGGGGAGGGGAGGGGCGCGCCGGCTGGGGCGTGGGGTAGGGCGCTGGCGGGCTGGCGGGGCGCAGTGGTAACCCTAATGGTAGGGACGGGCGGGCCTAGGGCTAGGAGCGCTAACCTACTGCTGATACCATGTCTGAATGAGAACTACAGCGGAATGTGTTGCATTGACAGAATTGGGGTACATAACCTAACCCTAACTAGTTGTACCCCATATAGCCCAACCCACTACAGGCTATAATATTTGACATTGAGCAGTTTGTGTTCAGCCGTATCACTCAATCAGCAAGTGAAGGCTGCGAGGGCTGCGAGGGCTGCGAGGGGGTGTGAGGGCTGTGATTCGTGTCAGAGAGCCCAGCACTTGTACTTGAGTAGGTTGCACCACTTGTCCTTGAGGTCCACTGGGGTGCACGAGGGTTGGAAGTGGTGCTGACAGTGGTGCAGAATGAGCTTCCACTTGTCCGCTGCTGCCCTATGCCACTCCATCAGCTCCTAATGGGGGCAGGTAGGGGAGAGTGAGGGGGAGAGAGAGAGAGGGAGAGGGAGGGAGAGAGGGAGAGGGAGGGAGAGAGGGAGAGGGAGAGAGAGAAAGGGAGGGAAAAAGGGAGAGGAAGGGAGAGAGAGCAAGGGAGGGAGAGAGGGCGAGGGAGAGAGAGAGGGCGAGAGAGGGAGAGAGGGCGAAAGAGGGAGAGAGGGCGAGGGAGGGAGAGAGGGCGAGGGAGGGAGAGAGATGGAGACAGTGTGCGGTCCAAGTGTAAGGACTTGCAATGGGGAGTCAGACACAGGGGAGGAGAGCTGCACAGGTGGAGTATCGACACTGGAGAGGCGATAGCATTGAGGAGTGAGCAAGGAGAGACGAATACATGTAGGGTAATGGGGGGCGTATGTGGTGAGACGACATGGTCGAAAGGGCATGTGTGTGTGAGTGTGAGAGAGTATGTGCCTGCGTGTGTGTGTGCATGCATGTGCATGTGTGTGTGCACGTGTGTGTCTGCAAGCGTGTGTGTGTGTGTGGGGGGGTGGATGTGTGCATGCGTGTGCGTGTGTGCATGTGTGTGTGTATGTGTGTGTGTGTGTGTGTGTGAGAGAGAGAGAGAGAGAGAGTGTGTGTGTGTGTGTGTGTGTGTGTGCGAGCATGTGAGTGTGCACGCGCCGGAGTGCACGCCCATGTGTGCATTGACACAGCACGGACATACAAGCAGCAATTCTTCCTCCTCTTCTGTCCTCCTACACTTCACTCGCGGCCCACCAGAAGCAGAAGCGGCAAAAGGGGCGGCAAAGCAGCAGCGGGACGAGGTGAAGGAGCAGCACGAGGAGCAGCTGTAGGGCGAGGAGCAGCTGTGCTAGGGCGAGGAGCAGCATCATCATCAGCAGCAGCAGTATGGGCAGTGGCAGCAGCGGCAGCAGTGGCAGCAGCGGCAGCAGTGGCAGCAGCAGGCGAACGAGGAGCCGAGATGATTTTTAGGCCCCCCCCACGGCTGGTACGGAGGAGGAAAAGGATGGTGCATCTCCCTCCTTCCTCCCCTCCTCTTCACTCCTCATTCGCCCACGCCCTCCACCTCCCCATCTGCCTCCTCCCATCCCATTCCCGTTCTCCTCTCCCTCACGACCACCAACAGCACCCACTCGCCTCTTATTCCCTCTCCTTGCCGGCCCCTCCGCCTCTCCTCTTCGCCTCTTCAACCACTCCCGCCCCCTTTACCACCAGCAGCTCCATCAGCACCGCCAGCAACAGCAGCACCTACAGGGATGCAGCACGCACCTCACCTTCCTCCTCCTCCTCCTCCTCCTCCTCCTCCTCCTCCTCCTCCTCCTCCTCCTCCTCCTCCTCCTCCTCCTCCTCCTCCTCCTCCTCCTCCTCCTCCTCCTCCTCCTCCTCCTCCTCCTCCTCTCCCTCCTCCTCCTCCTCCTCCTCCTCCTCCTCCTCCTCCTCCTCCTCCTCCTCTTCCTCCTCTTCCTCCTCCTCCTCTTCCTCCTCTTCCTCTTCCTCTTCCCCCACCTCCTGCTCCTCCTCTAACTCCATCCTATTCTCTGCTCTTTCCACACCACCACCACCACACCCTCTCACCAGCCACGGGTGTCGCAGCCATGGCTGCGCGACGCGCGACGATACACCAGAATGCGGGATTTTGCGGAGCGGTGGTCAATGCAGATAAAATAAAAGAATAGGAAAGGAAAACGTTGAAATGTCTTCTCCTTCCTGGCGAAATGCAGCGCGGAGGATGGTATCGATATTTGTGATGAGGCCGGTGTACGGAGATAAAACCAATGGTGGCTGTTCGCGTTGGTCCGAGTGTCATAGGTTCTGGGCATCTACAGCATCGCAACAAAACCTTGAATTTGGTTTTCTCCGAACAGATTTCGGCCTGCTTCTCACAGTTTCATGGTGGCTCTGTCTGTGAGCCTTGTTGGTGTGATGAGTCCATAGGTGCGAGGTACACGCAGAGGGCCTTGGTGCGAGCCTTGGTTCTGAGGTTTGGTTAGGCTGGGCAGGCTTGGCAACACGCAGAGGGAGCGAATTTTTGGAATTTTGGGTTTGGTTTAGGTTTGAGACTCGGTATGACAGGGGAGCTAGGTAAGGATTTAGGTTCGGCTTCAAATATTTGGCGCGCGCAACCTGAGGAGCGTCCCTCTTACGCTCCCGCGCTTTTCCCAAGGTTCAAGTTCCATGTTCCATCCCCGATGTGACTGTACCGAGCCGGCTCAATCCGAAATTTTGAAAGTGCACTCGATGCACTTCATCACAAGCACTGTTCGATACAGAATTTGGAGACCGCCGAACAGCACAGTAGATCTGGAGTGTAGGCCAACGAGGAACAAGCTACACACACGGGCGAACCCTTCAAAAATGGAATTGCTGAAGTTATCTGCTGAACTTGGCAGGATGAGTAGGAGCTCTGTAAGTAGTGCATTCACCTAGCAGCCAGGCTAAGACAGCGATGTTTGGCAACCCCCTGTCACTCTTCGTATGCTCGCGTCGCTTATTCTGAAAGACAAGCACACAGGTAGCGTAAGGATCCACCTGACGCCAACGTCGCATTCATTTTCCCCCCCGCTCGATCTCCGCAGCTCTACCCGCCTCTGCACTTGGCAATTTCGACTAGAATCAGACCGTACAACTGCTTTCGACTTGCCATTTCAACGCCTTCGTGTTGTGTCGACGCGGCGCCGTGGAGCAGGCGTGCACACGTGGCGCCATGGTACTGGGAAACGACTTGTGTAGGTTCCACCATCGGCTGCCGTCTGCTGAGTTGGACCACACCGACACAGGAGCAACACTGAGCATTTTTATTCGGTAGACGTTTCGAGTTGATGGTCAAGCCGCTCTCATTTCCGCCGTTCATCGTATTCTCTCTCCCAGGGCTACTCTCCGTACCAGTTCATTCGAATAGCTCTAGTCTAGACCCTCCTGAGTTCCAAGGCCCTCGCTTAGTTTCGACGCGCCTTTGCCCGTGGTCGCGTGGGCGTGTCGCGCGTGGCCGCGTAGCGCGCGACGCGTGGGTGGCGCGTGAGTGCGGCACGTGGCGCCATGGTACTGGAGAAGGACCTGTTCCGGTTCTACGAGCGGCTCAAGGAGTCGTGCGCGCGCAGCGGCGACCACACGCTGCACGTCTTCGTCGCCGGAATCTACGTCGACTCCGCCGTCGCGCTCAAGATCCTCACGGTACGCGTTTCCCGCTTGCCGCTCGCCGCCCGCCGCCCGCCGCCTGTCACACGCCACCCGCCGCACACGGCCAGGTACTTTTGAGTAAACTGGAAAGTCGCCGGCGCGCTCAAGGTCCTCATGGCACGAGCGCGCGGCCGTCGCCCGCCGCCCGTCGCAAGGGGGGTGGAGGATGAGGAGTGAGAAGCGAGGGGAAGCGCAGTGCTTCAGGAGGGAAGACGAGTGATATTGAGTCGTTTCCTGTAATATTCCGTTCTGGTTAACCCGCACCGCAATTCCACCCATAATGCATTTGCGTGATTGAGCGCGGAGAGAAGAGTGGCGTGCATGATAGGGTGCGAAACGACCAAGTGAGTTTGAGTCATCATTTTACCCACCCTTGCTGCTGCGCCCCGTTTTCTTTCCTCTGGTTCCGCTTCTCTTCCATTACCCTTCCACAATCCCTCCTCTGCCCCTTCCCTTCTGATTACGAGGACAGGACTTGCTACGAGCTGACTCGCTACAGTACTCGGTGTTCCCCGTGTATGGCTACGATGACATCACCGCACATGCCAACAAGGCAGCGGCTGGTAACCAGGTCAGTGCACGCTCCTCCCTACCATATATCCCGCATGCTGCCCTGCCCTGCATTCACACGATCTGCCTCCGCCCCAAACCCCGTACCCTTTCACCTGTCCCCCATCCCCTTGCACGCTCCACCCTTCCATTCGCCACTCCTCGTTCCTTTCCCCGTTCCCCGTATCCTCAACTGCGACCCGTTCCCCGTATCCTCAACTGCGGACCCATGGTGGACCTGTGTGGGTTGCTGACAGCCTCGCTTATGAGTCGCCTTATAGGAATCCCAATCTCACTTGAAATACTCTTGTTCACTCCCTCCTCTTTTCACTCGTCCACACACCCTCTTACTTACGCATGCACTCTCCACCCTGCTCCCCGTCCCCCGTCCCCCTTCCCCGCCCCGCATTCCCCGCTCCCTGTTCCCCTCGCCTCCTGGCCAGGCGTACACAGCAGTGTTCCTAAACTGCGGGGCGACGGAGGACCTATGTGGGCTGCTGGGCGTGGGGCCGTCCGTGTCGCTGTTCGTGGTGGACTGCCATCGCCCCGTGCACCTCAACAACGCCGCCCTGCACAACTCCAAGGTGGGATAGGGAACATTGGGGACATTGGGATGGGTGTGGACAGGTGTGGTGTGTGTGGTGTGGGTGTGGGTGTTGTGTGGGTGTGTGGTGGGCATTAATGCAGGGGCGAGTGCAGGAGCTTGTGCGAGCATTGGTGTGGCGATGGTTGTGTACTGGGCATGGGGATGGGTCATGGGGATGGGTCATGGGGATGGGTCATGGGGATGGGTCATGAATACTCCAGTCCCTGTAAATAGAATACATTTTGCTTTGCTTGTATCCTCCATCCCCTCTCCCTCCCCCTTCTCCCTCCCTTGTGCCTCCCCATTACTTCGACCTTCTCATTCATCCTTCGGCCTCCTCCCTTTCTCGCCCTCATTCCCCACCTCCTTCCTCCCCACCCCGCCCCTTCCCGCCCCCGGTCATTGTCTCGCCTCCTCCTTCTCCCCCCGTTCTCCCCAAATACTGCTAGCCCAGTATCTGGAGAGATTTTTGAATCGACTCAAAAAGTTGTCTCGCCACCTCCTCCCCCCCCCCACTCACCCCAAATAATGCTAGCCCAGTATCCGGAGAGTGAGCCAGCGGACACCTTCTTGTTCCCTTCTCCCCCCTCTGCTTCCCCGTCCCTCCCCTCACCCTTCCCCCTCCCTTCTACATCCCACCTCATTGCCCTGCCACCTTCTATCTCTTCCCCCTCTTTCCCAGGTGGTGTTAGTCCAGTCCCCAGAGAGTGAGCCAGAGGACTCCTCCTTACTTCCTTCGACCCCCCCTTCCCCCTCCCACCGCCCATCTTCCTATCCTCTCCCTTCTACATCCCACCCCATTGCCCTCCCACTTCCTTTCCCCTTCCCCTCCCCCTCCCTCTTTCCCAGGTGGTGCTAGCCCAGTCCCCAGAGAGTGAGCCAGAGGACCCCTTCTCAGACCCTTCTTCCTCCTCCCACTTCCCCCTCCCACTTCCCCCTCCCACTTCCCCCTCCCAACCTCCAACTTCCTACCCCCCTCCCCCCCCCTTCTACATCCCACCCCATTGCCCTCCCACCTTGTTTCTCTCCTTCCCTCCCCTCTAGGTGGTGCTAGCGCAGTCCCCAGAGAGCGAGCCAGAGGACCCGTTCTTAGCGCGGATACTAGCAGACCAGGGCGCCACAGGCAGCGGCAGTGACGGGGACGACTCCCCTTGGCAATCAGACTCCGATTCCGCCTCTGATTCTGACTCGGACGGGTTTAGCCCGGCCAGGGGGAATGGGAGAGGGGGACGGAGGCGGGGGGGTGGTGATGCGGGGGGGAGTGAGGGTGAGGATGAGGACGATGATGATGATGATGGGTTTGGGGGTGGGACGGAGGGGAGGAAGAGGAGAGGGAGGAGGAGGGGGGAGAGGGGGAGGCGGAGGCGGCAGAGAGAGGAGGAGAGGGAGAGGGAGAGGGATCCGGCAGTGAGGGCGAGGAGGAGGGAGAGGCGGAGGGTGCGGCTGGAGTATTACAACAGGGGGTCGTTCTTCGGGCAGCCGTCGGGGTGTGTGGTGTTTGAGATGGCGCATGGCATGCGGCGAGACACTAGTGAACACCTCTGGTGAGGCACAGGGATGGAGAGGAGGTGGGAGGTGGGAGGGAGAGAGAGGAGTTGTGTGGGGTCTGGGTGGTCTGGTAGAGTGAGAAAGTATGTTGGGGTGTGTGGTGTTTGAGATGGCACATGGCATGGCATGGCATGGCATGCGGCGAGACACCAGCGAGCACCTCTGGTGAGACACAGAAAGGGAGGAGGCGTGGGAGGTCGGAGAGGGAAAGGGGGGTTGTATGGGGTCTGTCTGTGTGGCTGGGTTGAAATCGCATAATGTCAGAAAGACCCTCTGGTGAGCATGTCAGGGTGTGTGGTGTTTCAGATGGCGCATGGCATGGCATGGCATGGCATGCGGAGACACCAGCGAGCACCTCCAGTGAGACATGCCACAACGGAGGGGGTGTGTGGATAATGGGGAGGGATGAGGCGTGAAGGAAGGAAGGAGGGGGGGGTGGTTGAGTATGTGTCTGTCATTGGCATGGCATCTAGCGCAGCCCCACCGGGACTAGTTCATTCACTCAAATCCTCCTCGCCTCACCCACTCTCCTGCCACCCGCCTTACTGCATGTTCCCAGCAGCCCCGTCCTCCTCCTCACCACTTCCACACACTGCCTGCCCAGCACATGCCTGTTAATTCTTGAGAATCTCAAGGACCAACTTACAGGTGCTCTCAGCCAGAAGCTCTTTCCCCTCCCTCCTCCCCCTTCCTCCCTCCCACCTCTCCCCGCTCCCATCCTCTCCCCCCCCACCCCACCCTCCAGGCTCGCGTGTGTGTCCATCACAGACCAGTTCGTGCACTCGCGCCTTGCTCCAGAGCACTACACTGCCGGCTGCCTTCTCTACATGCGCTTCTCCCTGCACCTCCCGCCTCCCCTTCCCTCTCAACGCCCAACCCCCCCCCCCACAACCCTCCAGGCTCGCGTGTGTGTCCATCACAGACCAGTTCGTGCACTCGCGCCTTGCTCCAGAGCACTACACTGCCGGCTGTCTCGACCTGGAAGACAAGGTAGAGGATGTGTCTTTGCAAGAATTGGGGGGGGGGGGGTGGGGGGGGTTGTGGGGAGGGCGGGGTGCGCGGAGGGGTGGAGTTTTCACATAACACTGCGTATCCCACTCCGCTCTCTCAAGTGGTGCTTAGTATTGATACACAGCTGTGTACATTCCCACTCTCCTCTATCGCCCTTCCCTTGATCATCAGCTTCCTCTCTTTCCCCCTCCTCTCTCCACCCTTCCCTCCCCCGTCCTCCCCCTTCCCCCGCTTTCTCTCCCAATTGTTTTCCCGCACTAATCCCTCCGCAAATCAACCTGCTCTCCCCCCTCATTCACGCCAACCCCATCCCAAGCCACGTTTCTCGACACTCCTCCCAGACTCACACACCCATCCCCGGCCACCCACCCAACCCACCCCAACCCCACATTGCGCAGGTGACGACAGCAGCGGCCATGGAGGCGCCGCGATCAGCAGTGATGGAAGATGGCGTGTCTGTCAAGCTACCGGACATGGGCCGAATACAGTTCCAACACGAGTCAGTCCCGTCCCGCCCCGCCCAGCCCCTGTGCTGCCCTGCACTACCCCCTCCGTTCCCCTACCACCTCTCGCTCCCTTGGCTTTTATTGACATGTCCTGATCTTTTTCAGGGTTGCGCTCTCATCTCTGCTCTGTACTGACTGACTCTCCTCCTCTCCCTGCTATATTCCCCTCCACCAATCGCGTTTGCTGGCACTTATTTTCCCTCCCCTCCCCTCCCCTCCCCTCCCCTCCCACTCTCCCCCCAGGCTACGACTCATGTGTCTCCCCCGGTGGAACCTGTTTGACTCGCTGCTCTACTCGTCCTACCCCGCCACCAAGCTCAAGACCTGGACGGAGCCCGGGCTCAGGCGCCTGCGCCTGCTGCTGGGCCAGCTGGGCATCCCCCACGCGCAGGCCAAGCAGCGCTACCCCTTCATGCCCGCTGCCACGCGCAGGTGGGATGGGGAGCAGTGGAGGGGTGGGGAGGAATGGGGGTTGGTTTTTGAGTCGACTCAAAAGTCACCTCTTTTGAGTCGACTCAAAAGTCACCTCTTTTGAGTCGACTCAAAAGTCACCTAGGTGGGATGGGGAGCGGTGGAGGGGTGGGGAGGAATGGGGGTTGGGGCAGGGGTGGTTGGGGGTCGGGAGTAAGTTAGGGGCAGCTTGGCATTCCCCATGTGCAGGCCGAGCAGCGCTACCCCTTCATGCCCGCTGCCATGCGCGGGTGGGGTGGTGGTAGGGAACAATAGGAAGGTGGGGAGAGCGTTGGGTGGAGAGATGAGGCAGCTCGGCATCCCCCACGCGCAGGCCAATCAGTGATACCCCTTCATGCCCGCTGCTACTCGCACGTGGGATGGGGAATAGGAGGCTAAGTGGGGCGGGATGTGGGGCAGGGGTGGCTTGGAATGGGGTTTAGGGTGGGGAGGTGGAGCAGCTGGGCGTTCCTTCATGCCCATGTACAGGCCAAGCAACGCCACCCCTTCATGCCCGCTGCTAGTCGCAGGTGGGGTGGTTGGCGGGGGAAAGAGGAAGGTGGAGAGATGGGATGGGAGCAAGGGTTTTGGGGATTGGAAAGAAGGGAAATGGGCCAGCTGGGCATCCCCCACGCGCAGGCCAAGCAGCGTTACCCTTTCATGTCATGCCTGCTGTGACTCACAGGCAGGGTGGGGAACAGGAAGGTGAGAGGGGAGGAGAAGGGGGTGGTTGGTGGCGCGCGCATAAAAAAGGGGGATATGGGGGAAAGGAGGGATGAAGCAGCTGAGCATCAACCACCCACGCACATCACATGCCAAGCAAAGCAGGGTGTTTATGAGAATTCTCAACCCCCCCCCCCCCCCCCACGCACTTCACATGCCAAGCAGCGCTACCCGTTTTATGGCCCCTTCTCTTCCACCCTTCCCACCCCTCTCTCCGCCTCTCTCTCCTCCCTGTGTGCGCGCCACTGCAGTCGACTCAAGGACGATGTGCAGCGCTTTGGTCCGAGCCATGGGCTGTCAGACATGTGCTACCGTGCCTTCCACCGATACAACGGATACAAGTGAGTCAGCCTGTCGGGGGACGAGAGGGCGAGGGGACGAAAGCCGAGGGGACGAAAGGCGAGGGGACGACAGGCCGAAAGGAGAGCTTGTGCGTCATTTGCGGGAGTGCTGTGTGTGTGTGCACGGGCAGGTGTATGAATGTTCGTGTGTGGCAGCTAGTGCCGTGCGGTGGTGGGCTGCTGGACACGTCCACACCACATACATGTGCTGCCTTGGAGCGACCTCCTGACCTGACCAGGCCCCTCCCCCCACATGTCACACGTGGTGCTCACTCGCAGTTGCCCCTCTCCACATCACTACTCTGCCACAAGGGCCTTCTCAGCACACACACGCCCACGTTTTCCTCCCTTCCCTTGCCCCATTCCTTGCCTTGTCAGGCCACCCCCACCACGTTCCATGTGTCGGCATCAGACGTGGTGTACGGCATCACAGCGCTGCTGGGGAGCCACTCCCCTGCTGACTCACATGGCGCTCTCGTTCCCATTCTTGCCCTTTTGCTTCCCCCCTCCCCCCCCCCCCCCCCCCCCCCCCAACCACCATTTCTTGCCCCTTCCTCCACCAGGTTCCGTGTGTCGGCATCAGATGTGGTGTACGGCATCACAGCGCTGCTGGGAGAGACAAGTGAGCACGCACGCCCTCCCTTGCATTCTTCCCCATTCCCATGCCGGCGCGCACCCCATCCCTGTGCCCATCCACCAGGTTCCACGTGTCTGCATCAGACGTGGTGTACGGCATCACAGCGCTGCTGGAGAGCCACTCGCCGGCGCCCACGGGGCTTGCAGCGGGGGACAATGGCGCCGCCGCACACGCTCACACCAACAACTCCTTCTGGACTGCCCTCTCCGCCCTGCACCTGTACACCGCTCGCCCTGCTTCCCTCACTCCGCCACCTGCTCTTAACTATCCATTCTCACACAGAAGTGCCTTATTCTGGCTGCACTCATTCTGTACTCCCAGCTCTTCACCTCGGCTCACTCCCTCGCTTCCGCTTCCTTCCCATCCCAGCGTTATCTTAACCCTTTGCCTCCCACATTTCCATGCAGGCGCGGGTGGAAGCAGCTAGAGGAGGGCATGGACTTGGCAATCCGCATGCAGGCAGCACTAGTCCGCCAGGGCAGCCTTGCCATCGCCAAGAAGGTCCGACTCACGCTTGCACGGTGCTTGTGTGATGGGATGGGGTGGAATGGGGTGTGGTGAGGTGGGGTGGGGTGTGGTGAGGTGGGGTGGGGTGGGGTGGGGCAGCGTGTGAGTACACTCTGAGGGTGGATTATTGCCTACAGCGTATGTCGCCACTCTTTTCCATGCTGCACAATAAGAATCGATTGCTGTGTGCACAGTCGACAAACTCACTCCTAACTCATTGCCTCATGACACCCCTTCCCCTCACGCCCTCCCACTCCGTCCGCCCTCCCTCTCCTTTGCACCCTCCCTCTCCTTTGCACCCTCCCTCTCCTTTGCACCCTCCCTCTCCTTTGCACCCTCCCTCTCGTTTGCATGCACCCTCCCTCTCCTTTGCATGCACCCTCCCTCGCGTTTGCACCCTCCCTCGCGTTTGCACCTTTCCTCGTGTTTGCACCTTCACTCTTCCCATTACCAGTTTCCGCTTCGCCCGCCTCGCCCGCTGCGCCCGCCTCGCCTTTGTCCCTCCATATTTGTCAAACCCTCTCCTCCCCATTTCACCCCCTCTCAAACTTCATCCTCCTGTGTTTGAAGTAGTGTTTTGAGTCATCTCAAAACATATTTGTCGAACCCTCTCTCCCCCATTTCACCCCCTCTCAAACATCATTCTCCCCCCTCCTCCCCACCCTTGTCCCCCTTTCTCCCTTCCTCTTCCCTCCTTCCCCTCCCCCATCCACCTCAGGGCGCCATCCGCAGCACGTGTGGGAGGCACCGGTTCCGCTACATGCTGCTGGCTGGACGACCACAGCGACGCCCCCTCACTTCTCCCCACTTCCCCCTTCCCCATTCCCCTTTCAACCTTCCCCCTTTCCCATTCCCCCTTCAACCTTCCCCCTTCCCCTCTTCCCCCTCTTCCCCCTTCCCCCGTCCCGCTTCCCCCCACCTCTCCCCACACCCCGCCAGGGTGCCATCCGCAGCACGTGTGGGAGGCACCGATTCCGCTATATGCTGCTGGACGACCACAGCGACGCACGCCTCATTGCGCACCCCCTGGCGCTCACCCGCCTGCTCCTCTTCCTCATGGACGCACTCAAGGTGGGGGACAGAGAAAGGGGAAACTTAGGGGGGTGAGGGGAGGAGCGGGTTTGGAGAAGTGATGCTATAAGCAAGTAACAGGCTCATTGCGCACCTGCTGGCGCTCACCCGCCTGTTGCTTCCTCATGGACGCGCTCAAGGTGGGGAGGGAGAGACAGGGGAGACTAAGGGGGTGGAGGGGGAAAGGAGTGGTTTGGGGAGGTGCCTCTAAGGCAAGATAGAGCTTTTCTCATTGCGCCTTATTGCGCACCCCCTCGCGCTCATGCGCCTGCTGCTCTTCCTCATGGACGCGCTCAAGGTGGGGAGAAGGGGGAGGGGAAATCAGGGGGATGGCGGAGGAGGGGAGGAGTGGGTTAGGGGGATGCCTCTATGGCAAGTAAGAAAGTCCATTAGTGCTTTCATTTCATGTTTCCCGATGTCGTGTGACCATGCCATGTGACCATGCCATGTGACCATGTCTCTCTCGTGGCAACCACCCAGGGTGTTGTCTCACCCCTCACCATACCTGCATTCCCCTCCCTCATCGTCTCCCTCATCCGGCCCTCTACCCCACCAGGAGCAAGGCGAGCGGCCTCGCCCCATGGTGGTGGCAGCATCACTGCCATCATCCCCATCAGCACTCATCGTGGGAGTGTCACACAAACCGAGGCTCGGGCAACTCATGGGCAAGTATGTATCCTCCACTCAACCCGCTTTGTCAAGTATGTCATCCTCCGCCCCTCACCCCTGATCAAGTAGAAACATGTATCCACTTGCCCTGATCTGAACCCTTCCCCCTCTCACACCCTCCCCCTTCTAACACCATACTCCCCACTCCAAACCACCACTGGAAGACTCCGTGCACCCTTGCTCCTTGGCTTTTGAGGCACCTCAATAGTCACCCTTGCTCTTTGGCTCTCTCCTGGTTTGGTGTGCCTCAATGGTTATCTGGCTTCATGTCGTTTCCTCTACCCCCCTCATCGCACACTGAACCTCTCGCCTCTCCACCACTGCTCGCTCCCCCTCACCCTCCCTCCCCGCCTCTCACGCACCCGCCTGCCCTCCCACTCTCTCCCCCCCTCCCACCTACCCTCCCCCCCCTTACGCATCAGCACCATTGGCGTTGCGTTTGCAAGGGCAGGGGAGTGGCTGGGGGGCGCGTGTGGGTACCGGCAGGACATGTTTGAGTCGTCGTGCGCGGTGCTGCAGCGCACCCATGTCTCCCACTTCTTCCCTCCCCTTCCCTTATCACACACTAGACCTCTTGCCGGTCTTGCCACCACTGCTGCCCTTCATCCTCCCGCCCCTCCTCTCATGCACCCGCCTTCCCTCCCACTTACTCTCTTCCACATGCCTCCCACCCACTCTCCCCCTCACCCCTCCCACCCAACCTCGCGCCCACACCCATCAGCACGTTTGGCGTTGCATTTGCGAGGGCGGGGGAGCGGCTGGGGGGCGCGTGTGGGTACCGGCAGGACATGTTTGAGTCGTCATGTGCAGTGCTGCAGCGCACACACGTTTCCCACTTCTTCCGCCACCTGGAAGAGGTTATGAACGACGACAGCGCAGATGCAGTGAACCTGGACATGGGCATGGGCTTGGGTGTGGGCGTGGGTATGGATATGGGTGGGGTTGGGGTTGGGGGTGAGGGGGAGGGGGGGAGCATGGGCATGGGTGTGGGTGGGGGTGTGGGTGGGGGTGTGGGTGGGGGTGTGGGTGGGGGTGGGGGTGGGGTTGCAGGGCTGGATGGTAGGGCAGGTGAGAATGGGCCGGGTTTTCGTGCCACAGGGGGAGCTGAGGCGGGAGTTGAGGCAGGAGAGAACAATGGCAGTGGTAGAGGTGGTGATGGGAACGGGGCAGAATCCGGCGCTGCTGCTGCTGCAGCTGGTGTTGGTGCTGGTGCTGGTGCTGGTGCTGGTGATAGGGATGGTGCTGCTGCTGCTCCTGATAGTGCTGGTGATGATGATGATGATGCTCATGCTGCTGCTGATGATGCTGAAGGTATCCAGAAGGCCTGTGACAGTGATGACAACAATGAAGCTGATGCTGCTGATGGGATCCAGTCTTGATCTTAAGCTTTCGCTACATAGTATAGCATGGTGATGACATGGCATCTGTACTACCGGTGTAGTCCATGATATCCTTGAGTGTTACGGTATTCCTGTGTACAGGAGCGCTTACCGTAGCTTATTACCCATCGCCAGCAGGCCCTGGTCCCTGTCCAATAACCACACTGATTTTCTGATGCGGCACGTATACCGTACCACCACCCCACCAGTACCGTACTCCAGAAGGGCGTGAAGGGAGCCACGTTTGGCTACAGGAAATCAAGAAACGTTTGATAGACCATGTTCCTAAATTTGGTGTACATCATCCAAGGCACAGAGCCCATTATCTCAAATCAACCATGGCATACCCTAACAGCTCACTGCTGTCAAAAGTTCTTTCTGCTGTATCTAAACCTGAATCCTCCCTGCGCGCGCCAGCAGTGCCTCGGGCAAGTCCTTCAAATTGCTGCACCTCTCCAAATGCACCTCCCGCAAGCTCCTCGCGCTCTCCAACCCCTCGGGTAGCTCGCTCAACCTGTCGCACTTCTGCACGTTCAGCACATGCAGCGAAGCCAGGCGAGAGACGGCCATGGGCAGCTTGAGCAGCCGAGGCAGGTTTTTTAGCGTGAGAGTGATGAGAGAGGCGAGATTGCCGAATCCGTCTTCTGGTAGAGAGGAAAAGCTCTCACAGTCGGAGACCATGAGGTGCTCCAGAGAGGTGAGGATGGTGAGGGAGGCGGGCAGCGTTGATAGCTTCGGCGCATTGTTTATGGTTACAACGCGCAGCCCTTGCATCTGCCCGAGGTTCTCGGGCAGGTTGAAAATTTCCATGTGGCTGAGATGAAGGCGCTGGAGGTGAGTGAGGGCTGTGAACGAAGGAGGGAGCAGGGAGAGCAGGGGGAGGGTGTGCAGGGTCAGGATTTTCAGTTTCTGTAGTGTGTGGATGTTGGGTGTTGAGAGGGGGGAGATAAGGGACAAGTCATAGAGAGAAAGGCTTTCCAGGGAGGATGCAATGGGAACAGTTTTGAGAGATGGGCTGTGTTCGATGCGCAAGTGCTGGAGCGAGGAGAGGTGGGAGATGGCTTGCTGCATGTCGCTGGTGCTCTGTAGCGTGTTGGACAGGATTAGGGTTTGCAGGGTGGGTGGGAAGGGCGAGGGCGAGTGGTGCGGGGGAGTCTGGTGAATTTGACACAGTCACGGATGTTGAGGTGGAGCAGGGAGGGGAGGAGGTGGAGACCTGAAGGGAGGGAGGCGAGGGAGGGGCACTTGAGAATGAGGAGGCGGCGGAGGGACGGGAGGGGGTGGGGAGAGGAGGGCTGGGGTGAAGGCTGAGGAGGTGGATGGGGGGCATGAACAGTCAGGGGAACATGGGAGGCAGCAGCGCCTGTAGAAGACGCAGCAGAAGCAGAGACAGCAGCAGCAGAAGCAGCAGCAGCAGCAGCCGCAGCAGCTTTCCGTAGCAGTAGCGGCAGCAGGAGGAGGGGGGGTAAGTGGTGGCAGCGTCCGCAGCAGCTTGCAGCGCGAGAGCTCTACCTCCTGCAAGGCCACAAGGTTGCCCCACCCTGCGGGCATTCCCCTCAGCTTGCTACAGTTGGAAATACAAAGCCGCTGCAGGTGAGTCAGCTGGGTGAGCGATGCTGGCAGCTGCTGAAGCTCGTGGCACCCATAAATTTCTAGGGCAGTTAAAGATTTCGCGAGCTGCCCGAACGTGCTCGGGAGGTCAGTGAAAGCTGTTCTTGGCGTATTTCCGTCATCGTAGGAACGAACCAGGTCAAACACGTAGGTTGCTACACCTAGCTCCCGATCTTCCCTTTTAGTCACCAAACCCTTCCATCCGAGAGTAAGGCTTTCGAGGCCGGGCAGTTGCGAGAGCGATTCAGGAAGGGTTTCCAACTGTTCGCAGCCAGCTATTTCCACTGTCCGGAGCGCCTCAGCTACCCGATATTTTCGGGCAGGGTTTCTAGATTGTTACAGCCATGGATGGTAAGGTTTTCAAGCTGAGTGAGAGTGGCCGGCAGAGGGTGCCGAAACGCACAACGATATAAAATGAGCCGCCGCAGCTTCAGCAGCTGCCCGAACGATCTGGGCAAATCGCAGGCCATTTTGTTCAAATGCAGCTCGGTCAGCGCAGACAGCTGCCCGAAATTTTCGGGTAGCGATCTCACGGAGCACTCGAGAAGCTGTAGGCGAAAGAGGGAGTTCATCCCCGCGAAAGACGCCGGCAGCGACGCTAGAACCCTACACTCCGCCGCGTGAAGGTGCGTTAGGGAGGAGAGGAGACCGAGAGAGTCCGGAATAGCCGTAAGGGAGTTAAGCTTGTCGAGAACGAGGGATGCGAGGCGGGGAGCGTCACCGATATCCTCCGGTAACGAGGCTAGGGCACTGCAGTGATAAATGGTGAGCGCAGTGAGGGAGGAGAGGGCGGAGAGCGAGGGCAGGAGGGCGGATAAGGAAAAGCAGGACTTGATGGTCAGTTCTTGCAGGGAGGGCAGCTCTCTGACGCAGTCAGGAAGCGATCGCAGCTGTTGGACGCTGGCGATAAAGAGTCGTTTGAGGGAGGAGAGGTGGGCGAAGGAGTCTGGGAAAGAGCTGACAGCGATCGCGCGCAGGTGGAGGGTTTCGAGGGACGATAAGAGGCCGATGGAGTCAGGCAGGGATTGCATGTGAAATGAGCCCGCCACCTCCAGGTGCTGCAGTTTTTTTAGCTGCCCGAGACCGTCGGGCAGCTGCCGGAGGGAACTGCAGCCGTCGAGTTTCAGCGAGGTGAGGGAGCGGAGGCGGGAGAGGGTGTGCGGGAGGGCGCGTATGCAAGCAGCGCGGATGCTAAGCGACCGTAACGCGGACAACGAGCCAACGCCCTCGGGGAACCGCGCCTCGGGCTCTGACGCCGTATCGGCATCATCATCACCATCATCGACCGCCCTGGAAAAATAATCGAGCCGGCCGCACGAAACTTCCAGCCTCGTCAGCCGCTGCAGGAGACTCACGGAAGCGGGCAGCTCGGGCAGGCACAGAGGCAGTGTGAGTTTCAGGCTGACCAGGCTGCGGCAGGCGGCGAAAAGAGCGGTAACGGCGGGCTCTGTTACTTTCGCGACGGCGTCGTCAGGGTCTTCAACGCCGAGGTTCCGCTGCCAGGAGCGCAGGTTCCTGTGGCGGTACAGCGAGAGGTGCGTGAGGGAGGGCGCGCAACCCGTGGCGATGGAGTGAAGGAGATCGTCTGTTATGGCGTCTAGCGCAGATGGGCCGACGTGCAGGTGGCGCAAGGTGAGCGGGGAGTGGAGGGGAAAGGAGGGGGAAACGGCGGAGGCGGAGGCAGGAGTGGGAGGGGAGAGGGAGAGGGAGAGGGGTAGGGGAGGGGAGGAGGGGGGAGGAGGTGGGGAAGAGAGGACGGAGCGGAAGGTTTGGGTGGAAAGGCGGCGGTCGGCTTGCAGGAGGATGGCGGGGAGGCTGAAGCGCGCCAAGCGGAGCCAGCGCTTGCACACGAGCGCGTGGTGGAACACGGTGAACGGCGGAGGCGGAAGCGGACAGGGAAGCGGAGGCGGAAGGAGGGTGGAGGTCGTGCGGGCTTCGGAGGGGGAGGGCGGAAAGGCGGAGGCGAGGATATGCGCAGCTGACGGTGAGCTCGGTTTGTCCGGGTCGATAGGGACCGTCATGGTTCGAGCGTAGTTGGCGGCAGTCGCTGCGGCCTTGAGAGCTATGGCGGTGGTGAGCTCAACAACGCGTACGAAACGCGTGCACGGTTTCTTCACTGCCCGCTCGATGCACTCGTGCAGCTCGTCCTCGCTGTTGACGGCGCCGTTACTCCCGTCCCCACCGGCATCACCCTCGGCAGCGGCAGAAACGGCGACAGCGGCGGCGGCGGCCGTAGTGGCGGCGTCAGAAGTAGCAGCGGCGGTTGTGAGGCACGGCTTGGGGTGGAAACGGAATCCGTTGGAGGCGACGAGAGCGAGTATGTGAGCGACAAGATCGTCGGAGAGACGCGCGAAAGGATCAGTTTTGAGGCGGCGTGGCGCAGGTGGTGACAAGCCGATATTGAACGAATCCATTTCAGACGCCACGTCGTCGAAGTTGCGCGGCAGACGGGACGAAGGAGCCGCACGTTGTGATTTTTGTGAAAGCCGTCGAAGGAAGAAAGGTAGGAGACTGTCTGGCGCTGCGAGCCAAAGAGGTAGAGGATATCGCAAGAGTGAAAGAGAAAGGGGGCGTTTGGTCAGAGCTAGCCCAGGCAAGTGGTGTGTAGTTTAGTCTGAGGAGTACGGCACAGAGAATAATGATGCACCACCGTTGAGATGTCCACTGAACCGAATGGAAACACACTAAACACCAGACTCTGTTCCAACCACGCATCTTGATCAGCAGACACTCGAGGTGCGATGACAATCACACCACATCGCAGCACCACATCAATGCACCACATCGCAGTCGCGCGTCATCCGAACCCCCGGGGAATGGCATTGCCTGGGAATGGGATCGCAAGCATCGCACGCCATCGTGATTTGCACCGCGAAAGTCGTCTTCGCGAGACTTGTTTCCGTAAAGGCGCGATGCTTGCAATTTTACAGCCTATGTATGGCGCATGTTACAAAACATTGGATTTCCACATTGCTATGGTGTACGGTATCTCAATTGCAACATCCACGCCATATATGCTAAGCATCAGTTAATTAGTGCTCCACCACTTGCCATTACCACACGAAGATGGAGACGTGATTTTTACTCTCAATCTATTCAATTGTACACATTGACCGCAGTTGTGACAAACATCTTGCACTCTAACACGGCTACCAGTGCCCTTACACACCTCCAAAGCATGTACAAAAACAACATAAAAGGCGAACTGACTCAGCCAAAGCTTCAGTGATGCAGCAACATGGTCACCAGTCAAGGCCAAGATCGCCTTGGTCACCCCTCCCTGCCTCGCCTTCGTAGCATGCACTCTCGTTGCCTGGTCTCTGGCCTTCCCAGGTCTCTCCCTGCCCTCCCTCCCTCGCCTGCGCCGCCCTGCATTCCCTGCGTCGAGGGGCGGCAGCGCGCCGCTCCTCACTCCTCCTCGTTTCCTCCCACAGAGGCTCCACTGCAGACTCTCCACCTGGACGTGTGGGGCCCGGCCCGCGTCCAGGGACAGGGCCGTGAGCGGTACTTCCTGCTGGTAGTTGACGACTACACGCGCTACACCACGGTCTTCCCCTTGCGCAGCAAGGGGGACGTCCCTGCTGTTTTGATCCCCTGGATCCGCGCTGCTCGTCTCCAGCTCCGCGAGCGGTTCCAGTCGGACTTTCCTGTCTTGCGTCTGCACTCTGATAGAGGTGGTGAGTTCTCCTCCGACCTCCTGCGAGCCTTCTGTGCGGAGCACGGCATCACCCAGTCGTTCACGCTTCCGGCCTCTCCACAGCAGAATGGGGTTGCTGAGCGCCGCATTGGCTTAGTCATGGAGGTCGCTCGTACCTCCATGATCCATGTGGCGGCTCCCCATTTTCTGTGGCCGTTTGCTGTCCGGTACGCAGCGCATCAGCTCAACCTCTGGCCCCGTGTCTCCTTGCCGGAGACCTCGCCCACACTGCTGTGGACGGGGAAGGTTGGTGATGCGTCGCGTTTCCGGGTCTGGGGTGCTCGTGCGTTTGTCCGCGATACTACTGCGGACAAGCTCTCCGCTCGTGCCATTCCCTGTGTTTTCCTTGGCTTTGTTCCTGACGCGCCTGGCTGGCAGTTCTACGAGCCCACCTCGCGCCGTGTCTTTGCGTCTCAGGACGTCACCTTTGACGAGTCCGTTCCCTTCTACCGTCTCTTTCCCTACCGTACTTCTCCTCGCACCCCCCCGCCGCTCTTCCTCGCTCCAGGTTCTCCCCAGGTATACCCCCTCCCCGCACCAGGTCCTGCTCCCTCAGGTGTTTCTCAGGTAGACCCTCCCGTGCCTGCACCTGTTGAGGTCACTGGTGACTCCGGTCCTGCTGGAGGTGGTGCTGTCGTTGGGGGTACTGGGCCTGGGGGTGGGGAGCTTGGGGGTACTGAGCCTGGGGGTGCGGAGCTTACGCGTGAGGAGCCTGGAGGTGGTGCGACTGGGAGTGCTGAGCCAGTGCGTGAGGAGCCTGGAGGTGCGGAGCCTGGGGGTACTGTGCCTGCGTGTGAGGAGTCTGGAGGTGCGGAGCCTGGAGGTGCGGAGCCTGGAGGTGCGGAGCCTGGACGTGCGGAGCCTGGAGGTGCGGAGCCTACGTGTGAGGGTTCTGGGGGTGCTGAGCCTGGAGTTACTGGGTCTGAGGGTGCTGAGCCTGCTGGTGTGCGGTCCCCTTGGAGTGGCCGCCTTCGTCCGCGTGTGCCTCTCACCTCCCAGCAGCTGCACGACTGGTACGGTCGCCGTCAGGGTCGCACTACTGGAGCCCGGGGCTCTACTGCTGGCGGTCCTGGAGCTGCTGGGGCTGGGCGAACCGTTTCTGGGGGTGCCGCTGCTGGGGACACTGCGACTGGAGACCCTGGGACTGGGGGTGCCGGTTCTGGGGGTGCTGCTACTGGTGGCGCTGGTCCTGGAGGAGCTGGCGCTGGGGGTGCTGGAGTTTCTGGAGGTGCTGGAGCTACTGGTGCTGCTGGTCCTGCACAGCCGCGCCTGTTCTTCGCTCCGCCGTCTCCGTCGTCTCAGCCGCCCCCTGACTCTGTGCTTCGCCAGGTTCTTAGTCTTCCGTCTTCTACTGGTCTTCCGTTACTGCCTGGCTCGCCGCTGCCTGCTCCCTCTCCTTACACTGAGCAGTCAGGGGGTCTTACTGAGCGTCGTGAGCCTGCGTCGCGTCCTGTCTCGCCTGTTCGTCCTAGTAGTTCCACTCGTCGTGTTCCGCGTCCGCGTATGCCGCCTGTCCCCACCGCACGCCTTGTCGTCCGTCGTCCTTCCTCTGGTCCACAGTCTGTTTCTCTGCCGTCTCCCCCTGCGTCTTCCTTGCCTCACGTTCCGGACCCTGAGTCAGACCGGTTTCGTGCTGAGCACCCTACTGTCACGCGTCTGCTCGCCACTGTTGTCACTGACCCCTCGTTTGAGTCTGCTGCTGCGTCTGCTTTGGTGGCTGAGCTTGTTGACTTTGCGGCTGCCTGTCGTCTAGACTACGCTGCTAGCCTTGTTGCTGAGTCTGAGTCTGTCTGTCCTCCGTCCGTCGGGGGTGAGTGTGCTCTTAGCACGGACGTCATTGAGGACAGGCACGAGGACCTTGAGTGTCTTGCAGCCGCTGCGCCTCATCTCGTGGCCATGCTGCTTGCCCCTGAGGGAGACCCGGATGCTATAGACATCCCCACACCGCGCTCTTACGCTGAGGCGATCGCGGGTGAGTACTCCTCTCAGTGGCAGGCAGCCATGGATGCAGAGATGGCATCCTGGAAGTCCACAGGCACTTACGTCGATGAGGTTCCCCCTCCCGGGGCGAACATCGTCGATGGCATGTGGATTTTCAGGGTGAAGCGGCCGCCGGGTTCCCCGCCTGTCTTCAAGGCTCGTTATGTTGCTCGAGGCTTCAGTCAGCGAGAGGGAGTTGATTTCTTCCAGACCTTCTCCCCCACCCCGAAGATGACTACTCTTCGGGTGCTGCTGCACGTTGCCGCACAGCGTGACTACGAGCTACACTCCCTTGACTTCAGTACAGCTTTCCTACAGGGCAGCCTGCACGAGGAGATCTGGCTGCGCCGCCCACCTGGCTTCACTGGGTCGTTCCCTCCTGGTACTCAGTGGAGCCTCCGCTGGCCAGTCTACGGTCTCCGCCAGGCGCCCCGTGAGTGGCACGACACACTGAGGACTACACTTGCGGCTCTTGGGTTTGCGCCTTCGACTGCTGACCCGTCACTGTTTCTGCGCACAGACACTTCGCTGCCGCCGTTCTATATCCTTGTGTACGTCGACGACTTGGTCTTTGCTACTGCTGACACTGAGGCCCTCGCCCAGGTGAAGTCCGAGCTGCAGAAGAGACACACGTGCACAGACCTGGGTGAGCTGCGCAGCTACCTTGGCTTGCAGATCACCCGGGACAGAGCACGCCGCACCATCACCCTGACTCAGTCACACATGGTGCAGCAGGTCCTTCAGTGCTTCGGCTTCACCTGGTCCTCACCACAGTCCGTTCCTCTGGCTACAGGTCACTCGCTCTCAGCTCCACCTTCGGACGAGTCCGTAGAGCCGAGTGGTCCTTACCCAGAGCTAGTGGGCTGCCTCATGTACCTGATGACTTGCACTCGTCCTGACCTTGCATACCCTCTTGGCCTTCTGGCTCGCTACGTGGCTCCTGGTCGGCACCGAAAGGTGCACTGGGATGCTGCGAAGAGGGTACTACGCTACTTGTGCAGTACATCGGGCATGGGGCTCGTGCTTGGAGGACAGCGAGAGGTGGTCCTCACTGGGCACTCAGACGCTTCTTGGGTTGACGACCAGGCTACGCAGAGGTCGTCACAGGGTTACACTTTCAGTCTTGGCTCTGGTTCTGTTTCCTGGCGTTCTACTCGCTCGTCTTCTGTTCTCAGCTCCAGTTGTGAGGCTGAGATCTACGCCACAGCCATGGCTGCTCAGGAGTTACGCTGGCTCACCTACCTGCTGACCGACTTGGGAGAGAGGCCTCGTTCTCCTCCAGTTCTGTACGTCGACAACAAGGCTGCCATTGCCTTGTGTGAGGAGCACAGACTGGAGCACAGAACGAAGCACATCGCTCTGCGGTACTTCCTGGCTCGAGAGTTGCAGCAGCGTGGTCAGCTTCGTCTTGCACACGTGGCCACTCGGGCCAACACTGCTGATATATTCACCAAGGCACTCTCGTCTGGTGATCATCAGCGTTTTTGTACTTTGTTAGGCCTTGTACCTACGTTTCCACACTTGCTGTAGGCTTTGCTTGTACTGTGATCTATATATCTATATACCTGCATGCTTGTTCTTGCTTGGTAGGGATCACTGTACTGTTCTTGTCACATATATATCCCTGCATGCGGACTGGCCTTGTGGCCCTTTACTTGTGCTCAGAGTGTGTGGTGACGTTGTGATCCACCCTGAGCGTGCTTTGCTTCTCTTGACTGGTCTTGTGACCCCTTGTTCTCCCCCACTTTGCCTATGGGGGTGTGTCAAACTATATATGCATGTTAGTTTTATCTAGGCTGTAGTGGGGTAGCACTAGGGGGTACAGAAATTCTCTCGACATTCTCTCTTGTACCCCCCCCTTGACCTAATCCAACCACTTCTTCCTAGTCTAAGATTCTAAGAATAGATATTTTGTGGATGTATATGTGCAGCTAAATCGCAAAAATGAGATTGAAATCCATAAGGAGATTTGGCATGTCCTGTATGAAAAATCGGACATTAGCTAAGACCGGCAACTAGTCCGAGACGAGCCTTTGGGTAATTCCAAAAGAGCATTCTTGGGAATCGGGAGTCTGAAGTCTTCGATTACAGTAGGTAATCAGAACAAATGCTATGATGGAATTTAACGCAATACTACCGTACGAAAAGCAGGGACCATCTTTGGGCATTTAGTAATTCATCCTTTCGTGTTATAACTGAACAGCCTGAATAGGAGGAGTTCTTATAGAGGTACTGTTAACGCAGTGAAGAAAGACGTAACAATGAAACAATTTGGAACCCAAGTTACAAGTGTGGCAAACTCAACACAACTTCAATTTCCTGAGTAAGCATCTTGAGCACACTGCATGATGGACTAGTGGTGGTAGTGGTAGTTGTGGTGTGCCCTTCTATCCCACGCTCCATCGCATCGAGTGCCCTCTACTACACTCCACTAGCAGCTTGCCGGACAGCAAGGGCTCTCTTTGAAAAGAAGTAGCGTGTGGGAGGGGAAAGGGTGGGTCGGAGGTTGATGCGCCTTGGCAACAGTGCCAGCAGCAAGAGCAGCAGCAGCAGCAGCAGCAGTGGCAGCAGTGGGAGTAGCTGCGGCAGCAGCAGGTTATAAAGTGGCTGGAATCCTGAGAGATCAGAGGAGATTCCTGCTGACAGGGTGGGTGAGTCGCAAGGGAGGAGAGTACCATGAAAAAAGCAAAGCAGGGAAAGCGTGCAGGAAACTTCCTAGGAGGTAATAGAATGTTGTGAAGGGATGTGTTGTGCACACAAGCACATGCACACACAACGCTCAGGACATTGAAAAAAATAAAACCACATATTAGTAGCCAGCAAGGGCATTAGCGGGCAGGCAGGCATACCTTGAGGGACACAAGTGCCAGCAGCAGTCCCTGGCGTGTACCCCTCATCACAGGTGCACTGCGCCTTGCCTTCATTGGGGTTGCAGAACGACGGCGGGTGCTCATCCTTACAGACAGGCAGGTCAGAAGAGGGGTTAGGCACAATGGAGCACACGCCATGGCCGCTGCACGGCGGGGTGAGAAACTGCGCCCCACAGAACGACTGGCACTCGCTGTCACGCCTCTGGGCCTGGAACTCCCTGCAGAAGACTCCGCGGGTGCTAAGGCAGCCGTGTTGCATGTCATAATTGCATCCGATCGGTTCGCTTGCAAGGCAGTTCTTGTAGACGTACAAGACGGGGCATCCGGAGGTACCGTTGCAGGGAGTGGAAGTGGTGGGGCACTGAGGGAGAGGGTTTGCTGTGGCTTTGAGGTAATTTTCTTCAGCATGCAGGTATTGGAGGTGTGCCATGCGGTGAATGGCGGGCAGCGCCCCTACCAGCTGGTTGTTGGCAAAGTAGCTGGAATCAGAATCAGGTGGGACGATGATTGGAGGGCAAGAGGATTGGAGGGAAAGAGGATTGGAGGGAAAGTGGATTGAAGGGGAAGTAGATTGGAGGGAAAGTGGATTGGAGGGAAAGTGGATTGAAGGGGATGTGGATTGAAGGGAAAGTGGATTGAACAGAAAGTGGATTGAAGGGAAAGTGGATTGAAGGGAAAGTGAATTGAAGGGAAAGAGGGAAGGTAAATAGGATTGAAGGGTAAGGGGAAGGAAAGAGAGAAGGAAGGGAAGGGAAAGATGGGGGGGGGGGTGGGGAAAGGTGGAGACAAAAAGAGGTATGATGAGGAGGTGCAAAGAGAACGAGAGATGGCAGTTGGAGGAGTTGAGTTCCGCAAAAAAAGCACTATCCTCCCCTTCTTATGCATCATACCTCCTTCTCATCATACCTCTTTTTGTCTTTTGGAGAGATGGCTGTTGGAGGAGTTGAGTCTTGCCAAAGTTAAGCAAAAAATTCCATTCCACTATCCTCCCTTTCTTATGCATTCTCCTTCCCAAGGTTTCATTGGTCGGAGGAAATGCATATGGAGATGACGGGAAGCGGGTGGCGCCTCAAAGGTCGTTCACAAGGGAAAGAAGGCTAGGCACCATGAGATGCATTTAAGAATGATAAGGAGCAATTCCAATGTTTTGGAGTCACCGTTGAGAATTTTAATATGGATGCGCTCTTTAGCAAGCACAGGGGGACAGGCGGGTGGTTGGCAGATTTGAACAAGTGGTAATGTGAGCAGTAGGGATGGCATTTCTTGGAAGACTTGACAGAGAAGAAATAGCTTCGAAAGAGCAACACTGACAGTTCTCTGAGGTTAATGAGTCTGCTGATCCCAGCGGGAATGGTCCCCGCAAGGCGATTGTCGCAGAGATATCTGGAGATGGGTGGATGGTGGATGGTGGACGGACGGACATGGGAAGGAGAAGAGGGCCGAGATGGTGCCTTGAAAGAGTGAAAGAATGGTTGCTTTATGTGAGATGTGAGATGTGTGTGCTTCGAGTAACATGCCATGCACACACGCGGCACATGCACTCCCTCCCTCCCTCCCTCCCTCCCTCCCTCCCTCCCTCCCTGACCCACCCCGTGCCTCCCCTCCGCGTATCCCTGTGTACCCCTGCCCTTTGTGTTGAATACTATCAAAGCCTGGTGACCGAGCAGATACAATCACGACAGGCACCAAGAGGTTGAAAACGAGTGGCAGGCAGAATGAGATGCATGGAGAAAGGAGGAGGGTGGAGGGAGAATGGGCGCACAGGCTGGTGAGTGCAGTGAGGTTGCCAATGGATGCGGGAATGGTGCCACTCAGCCTGGTTTGAAACAAAAGCCTGCCCAAGTTACAAATGCACAAGCCAAAAGAATTAGAAGCACGGGACAAGGGTCGAAATGACGAATGCCACCAGCAGATTCCTTCTCAAGCCCACACGGCCTCTGCCTTTTCCAAGTATGGTTGACTTGGCACGCTTTATCATACACACTCTACTTGACTCGGTGCTTTCTGGTGGGGTCTGACTTTAAACCAGACCAAACTTAGCAATCGTCAAGTCATCTGCGTGTTGCACTGTTTAAGCTGAAAATGCCTCGCCTTGTCATGCCCTGCTCGTCCTTACATCTCTTGCAGGTTGGTGAGCGCTCCAATTGACTCGGGGATGGGCCCTGAGAGTTTTTGCCTGCCAAGGTTCCTGAGATTGTGTGCGGTACAGTGCGGCGAAGTGTGATGTCGAGTGGTACAGTGTGGATGAAGTAGGGGAAAGGAGGGGATGGGGGAAACTGTGATACGGGAGAAGGGGAGAGAGGAGGATGAGAGGAAGGTGACCTAGTGTATGTCAGGGTGAACCATGCCAAGGTGGAAATTGGATGTGGTGGACAGCTTGTAAAGGGGATGCATAACCTCACATGCATCAGCAGTGCTTGTAGCACTATCAGCAGCGCATGCATCAGCAGTGCACTGATATAGTGGAAGCACTTTGCGTCATTAACCCTGCAGCAGCACCATCGTTACTCATTCAATCTGCCTGTGACAGAGGGAACATTAGCACATACGGATGCCTCTACTCACCCTCTCACTCACTCACTCACTCGTTCAATCGCCCATTCACTCAATCAGTTACTCGCAAACTCACCCACTTGTTCACTCACCCACCCACTCACTCATTCACTCGCCCACTCACCCACTCACTCACTCACTCACCCACTCACTCACTCACTCACTCACTCACCCACTCACTCACTCACTCACTCACTCACCCACTCACTCACTCACTCACTCACTCACCCACTCACTCACCCACTCACTCACTCACTCACTCACTCACTCATTCACTCACTCACTCACTCACTCACTCACTCACTCACCCACTCACTCACTTACTCACCCACTTACTACGGCACTCTTTGCTCCCTTCATGGCACCTTGCATGCCTACCCCATCACCACTCACAACTTCTGCAGGTGTTTTAGGTTGCTGATTGCCTCTGGAATGGTGCCTGATAACCCATTCCTCTCGAGATTCCTGGTGCATGGATAGGGCAGGTTTCAGTGGAGGAGGGTTAATCTAAGAGGGGGAAACGGGGGAGGGGGGGAGACGGAGAGAAGGTGAGGGCAAAGAGGGGGAGGGAGGGCAGAGAGGGAGAGGGCAGAGCGGGGGAGGGCAGAGGATAGGAGCACAGAGGGCGGGAGGGCAGCGGAAAGGAGGGCATAGAGATGTGGGAAACAATGAAGATGGAGGGCAAGGAGGGTAGTTAACCAAAACCAGAGAGGAGAGAATGGAATGGGGAACGAGCAGAGAGAGATGAAGAAGCACATCGTTGTGTTTTTATCAGAATCAAAAAGTCCCCGTGTGTGCAACATGGCATGGTACTGCATGCTGAGATAGGTTTTGGGAGATGGTGCATGGCATGGCATAGCATGGCAGATGGTGCTGTAAGTACTTGAGTTGAGCTGGTGATTTGATATGTCGGGTGAACATATTTGAGTGATTCTGAGATTGTGTGTGGAACGCCCAACCCAACCCAACCCACGAAACACAATGGCCTGCCCTAAACATGGTGTGGACTGGGGAGAGTTAACACGAGTTTGTATGGATTGGGGGGGCGGTTTTTTTTTTTTTGTTTTTGTTTTTTTAATTTTAGTTTGGCCAAGTTACGAGTCGACCCCGAGTGCAAGAAAAACTCTAGCACATTTGGCTCGACTCGACTCGAGAGGCCGTAAAAACTCGCAGAAATGAGTCAAGTTGAACTCGACTCGCCATCGGAACATGTCTTCTGGCTGTAAGTGGTTGAGACATAGAGCTCCATGGAATTGAGGAGACAGGGATGATCAATGAGTGCATAGCAGATGGAGCATAGCATGTCACGTGAATCATAGCATGTGCAATGGTGTGTGGGCAAGGAGATGGTGTGTGGGCAAGGAGATGGTGCGTGGGCAAGGAGATGGTGCGTGGTGTGGGACATGATCATGCACGGGGGGAGAGGTCATGTCATGGTATGTGGCATGGGCGATGGTCTGTTTGTGGCATGGTGGATTGTGCAAGCCCCACGGAGAAGACAGCGCGGGGTAAAGTGAAGAGATGTAGTCGATAAGGGGAGGAAAGACTGGTGTGGTGGTGTTGCGTTGGTAAAGGAGGGACGGATGGATTGAAGGCATTGAGAGGACTGACAAGTGCAGGAGAGAAGAAAGGTTCCCCAGGGAAGCCGGGAGGGAGCCTGTAAGCCAGTTGTGGCTTAAATCTCTACAGGCAGTATACAGAAACATGGGGGTGAGGCAGCACTCAGAAACAAGGGAGGGAGAACAGCTGAAAACAGGGTGGATGGGTGGAGATAGGACTGTGTGGATGGGTGGAGATAGGACTGTGTGGATGGGTGGAGATAGGACTGTGTGGATGGGTGGAGATAAAAATGGGTGGTTGGATGGAGATAGATATGGATGGATGGGATCAGGGGTGCATGGATGGATGGAAACACATGGTCGGGACTTGGGTTGGGAGTCACAAGGGAGGGCCAATGTGGGTTGAAAATTTTAGATGCGAGGTGCAGAGGGAACCAGAGGTAGCATGAATGCACACATGCTCACTTGCACACATGCAAAAATGCATGCACGCATGCACAAATGCATGCACGCATGCATGGACTGACAGGGTCTGGAGGCCTGTTGCGAGGCCTACTTCGTTAGGGATGCTGCCTGAGATAGCAGTCTTGGTGATAACACTGATCATATGCATCACGTGCGCACATGCGATAGAAGGCATGCATGCATTATAGGGCACACATGCAATACAGGACACACGTGGAATATAGGAGACACAAGGAATACAGGAGACACATGGAATAGAATTTGCACATGCATCATGAGAGCACACATGCATCATGAGAGCGCACATGCATCATGAGAGCGCACATGCATCATGAGAGCACACATGCATCATGATTGCGCACATGCATCATGAGAGCACACATGCATCATGAGAGCACACATGCATCATGAGAGCACACATGCATCATGAGAGCGCACATGCAAAAGTTGGTGATTTCTCAACCGTACACAAAAGACACCTCCACGGTCAAAAGAGAAGGAACGGTGCGACAATGTGTAACAAAACAGGAACATACAAGAATTGCAAGGACATGTTGACATGGGAGAGTCCTGATGATATTCAAGGCACCAAGCTGCAAGCAGCACACATCCGGTGCGGGCAGTACACACCAGATGCGGGCAGCACACACCAGGTGCGGGCAGCACACACCAGGTGCGGGCAGCACACACCAGGTGCGGGCACCTGGTTCTTATACTCCCATAAATCAGTCAAGTCAGCACGGGTGGAACGAGGGAGGTGGGGAAAGAGGGGTGAAAAGGGGTGAAAAGGGGAGAAACTTGGGATGAAACGAGTGAAGGGCGGTGGAGGAGGAGGTAGAAGAGGGAACAAGCGACTCACAGGTGCTTGAGAGTGGGAATGGTGAAGAGAGCAGCTGGCAAGGTGCCATTAAGGTTGATATCTGTGAGGGTGCTGTGGGGAGGGAGTGCGATGGAAGAATGAATGGAGTTGTTGAAAGGGGTAGTGCAGTGGCCTTAGACGTAAGGGTTTAGGGCTGAACATAGGAGATGCAGGGACTGCCGCGCGGGCGAAGGAGCGCAAGTATGCTAACCGACCAGCAGGGGTTGGTTTCCTAGCAATGGCAGTGGAGACGTACAGGCACTGCTCGCCAGGGGTGCTCGAATTCCTCCGCCTCTGCGCTAACCTCGCAGCAAAGCGCCTACACAACGCGGAACCCTCGTCACCGGAGGCGGCAAAGCTCTACCACTCGTACAGGCAGCGGTGGTCGATTACCCTGCAGCGCGCCCAAGCGAACGCGCTAGCTGCTAAGACACTAACGGCCTTTGAGGCCGGGGCAGCGCCCACCCCGCTCCAGAGCGAGCCACTTGGCATCGGGGATCTTATGCACGTGCTCGAGCCACAGCTCGAGCTGCCGTAGAGTGCTTGCCTACATGTATGCTGGGAACTTAGTGTGCTGTAACAATCCTGTTTTCTAATGAAAGGTCCATTCGAGAGGGGTAGATTGCAGAGGCGCTTAAAAAATAGAGGTTGTAGAGGTAAGGGTTTAAGTAGGGCTGTACATAAGTGATGAAGAGAGGGGCCTTTTGAGGCGCTTAAAATGGTATTTGGCCGTACATAGGAGCCGAAGAGAGGGGTCCCTGACATGAAAAGACCAGCAGTGTAGACATGGTTACCAGATAGAAGTGTAACCAGGGTACACACTCTCAAAGTACTAGGTGGGTGGGTCAAACAGAGAACCATGACTCCCATCCCATTCAAGCCTTGCTTGCTCTTGCCTTGCCAGGACAAACAAGCCGACATATTGGAAAAAAAATCTCCTCACCCGGATCGGATGCATACATGAAAAGTAACAAACCCCCGACGCACTGGAGGAGTGGCGGGAATGGGTGCACAGTCAGTAAGGGGCGTTCCCTAGCATGACCCTTTGCTCACAGTGCATTCTATTCTAGGCAGGAGCAAGGGCCGTTCTCAAGCCAGCCCGTGACGCCTTTTTTCAGCTCATCGTCTCAACAAGCACGGATCGGAAATACAGCATGGTAAGCAGTGTAGTGGCTCGTAACAGGGTTGCTGCGAAATCGTCTAGTCTTTCATGAAAGAGCGGCAAACATGGAACCACAAATGGATCTTGTTTGTTCCAGTCCCCAGACGAGTCTTGGCCTCGCCTTTTTTGGCCACTTTTATTGAAAACCACTCTCAAACTCGTATGAACGAATGTTTATCCAGAGATAGAAACGAGGCCAATGTACCATACCCATAATAGAGACAAGAAAAAGGCACATGGGAAGAGATTGCAGTTATACGGAGCAGCATGCATGGCACAAGATACTGATGCATATGGCAGCAAACCTTTTGAGGCGCCTCATAAGCGTGCATGGCACATACTGATGCATATGGCAGCAAACCATGCAATGCCATGCAAAGACACGCCATGCATGCAACGCCAGGCCATGTCTCATGCCATGCCATGTCTTCCCATGTCATGCCACGCCATGTCTTGGGTGGCTTGTGGAGTCAGGTGTCAGGCATTGGCATTGAGGAATCGAACAAGCACGTGAGGTGAGAGAGTTTGCCGAGGGAAGGTTTTGAGACGTCCCAAAAAGAACATTTTATTATTTGGAGGGACCGGGAGAGTGGGGGAATTGGCATTGAGAGGACTAACAGGCTTGTGAGATGAGAGAGGTTGCCCATGGATGCCGGGAGGGAGCCATGGAGGTAATTGCTGCTTAGATCCCTGCAGTAGGCATATGGGTGAAAGGCGGTAGATGGATGGATGGATGGATGGATGGATGGATGGATGGATGGATGGATGGATGGATGGATGGATGGACGGACGGACGGACGGACGGACGGACGGACGGACGGACGGACGGACGGATGGATGGATGGATGGATGGATGGATGGATGGATGGATGGATGGATGGATGGATGGATGGATGGATGGATGGATGGATGGATGGATAGATGGATGGATGGATGGATGGATGGATGGATGGATGGATGGATGGACTGACATGGTCTGGAGGCATGTTGCAAGCCCTACTGCATCAGGTATTCTGCCTGAGAGCTTGTTGTTGGTGAGGTCACTGCATATATGCATAATGAAAAGACATGAACCATGTGAGCAGACATAACACACGCCCATGCAAGAGCCCAAGGGAGAAACACAGGGGGTCAAAGAAAGCAGAACGTTTGGAATGTCAGAGCAGTGGTCGCAGCAATGTGCCAGATCGGACACATCTGCCAGATTCAGCCACATCTGCCAGATTCGGCCACATCTGCCAGATTCGGCCACGTGTGCCAGATTCGGCCACATGTGCCAGATCGGCCGCTGTAGAGGAGAGTTCTTAACTTTACCAAGCACTTAGTTTTCAACACCCTCCTAAATCCAGTGATGGCAAAAGAGGACGGAAGCAAAAGCAGACGGAAGCAAAAGCAGACGATAAAGGAAATGCGGGAGGGGCGGGGAAGGATAGTGGGTGAGGAAGCGAGGGAAGGTAGGGTTGGTTATGGAAGAATGGAAGTGAATGGGCGAGCACAAGCCTCGCAGGTGCATGAGGAGTTGCTGTAAATAATTCTAAAAAACAACTCCAACTGGTGCTCTTGAGGGTTTTGTATGGTAGTATCGAAGAGAGCGGGTGAGGAGTCTCACAGGTGCTTGAGATTGGGCATGGTGAAGAGCGCAGCAGGCAAGGAGCCGCTAAGACCACTTCCCGTTATGGATCTGCAGGAAAGGAGTGGAATGGAAGGAAGAGTGGAAGGGAGTCGACTTTTGAGTCGAGTCAAAAGTCACCTTGGGAGCCGCTGGATTCGCTTTCTGATATGGATCCGCAGGAAAGGAGTGGTATGGTATGGAAGGAGTCGATGGAGCTGTTTAAAGGAGTTGGGTGAACCAAAACAACAACAGAAAAAAAAAAACCAAGACACAACACATTCTAATTACCTCTTGATCGGAATTAACTTGCCGCTATATCCGCCCCATGCGTTCACCACTTTAAGGCATGCCACTTCATTCCAACCAGATTATCCCATCTCACGCATGCCTTGCCATGCCGATCCACTCACAGCAGTGTGAGGTGCTTCAAGGCTGTGATGGTCACCGGAAAAGGGAGCTCAAATGCATTATCAACTAGATAGACCTTGAACCCTTGGGGGGCCACAACGTAGGTATCGCTTAAGCTTGCGTTGCTGGGAGGGGGGAAAGGAAGAGCAGAGGAAGAAAGGAGGGAGAGAGGGAGGGTTGAATGGAGGGATGAACGGGATGCAACAGGCTTACAGTGCAATGTCATGCTTACAGTTGACATGCTTACAGTGCAATGACATGCTTACAGTGCAATGACATGCTTACAGTGCAATGACATGCCCGTCGCCATCACAGCGCACAAAAGCCATGCTGTCACAGTCTCTGCCCCTACTCCATGTGTCCGTGCCGTTGAATTGATGCCATGCAGGTGCCAGCTTCTCCAATACTTCCACTGCCATGATTCATCCATGCCATTCACCCATGCCATTCACCCATGCCATTCACCCATGCCATCTTCCAATGCCATGTTAATGCAACGATACCATACCTTGCACAACACTCGTTGCCATGCCACACCATACCATGCCACACCATATCATGTCACACCACGCAACATCATGCCTTGCACACCTTAACATGCCATGTCATTCCAATGTCATGCATGAATGTCCAGAGCAGTGAGGAAGAGAGCGAGGGGAGCAGAGTGGAGAGCAGGGAATGGATGGATGATGAAGCAGTGCAGCGCATTCGAGCAGGGAGTGGAGCGCATTTGAACTGGTTCAAAAGGGCAGCTGTGATAGAGGCGCCTCAAAAGCAGGGAGATGATGAAGCAATGCAGCAAATTCAAACTTGCATTACATAACCACAAAATCTTACTATCGCACATTTCAGAATCTTACTATCGCACACGAGCACAGCATGGTTTAGTACAGGAAGAGCCATTACAGAATGGTCACCTCCACCCAGTTCAGCACAGCTCATAAGACGGCTCAATGTCAGGGTTCTCGTTTAAGAGGAGGAGGTGGGACGAAGAAACTGGGTCCTGTACGGCTTACTGTCAGCACGCACCACGGCTTATTGTCAGCATGCACCACGGCTAACTGTCAGCACGGCTTACTGTCGGCGTCCACCACGGGAGCAGCGCGTGCGAGGGGCATGCAGCAGCGCGCCACCACCAGCGCCACCACCGCCGCTCTCGCAGCCACCATGACGCCGCCGCGCCTCCCCATCGCCGCGGCGCAACGCGGCCCCATGGTCTCCGCGCGCCGCTGCCCGTGTGCTTGTTTTTCTCGTGCTGCTATGTCGTCTCCGGCGTACACGTGAGCCGTTTGCGGCGTGCGCGCGTTGCAGCGAGGGCGATCGAGACTCTTGAGTAAAACGGAATTCTACTATTGCTGGAGAAGTCGACTCCAGCGGGCAGCTGCTGTCAATGGCGACTCTAACGCGAAATTCTAATCTCGTGCATCTGATTCTCGTCGTTGCCTTCGTCTGCCACATGGGCCTCGGTAAGAGCACGAAACGCGACCGCTACTGGGAAAGAGCACTGCGATGGAGGGATGATGCACTGAACTGGTTTGGGCCATGCTGGGTGGTGAAGATCAAAAGCTCACCCACATCAATCGCTTCTGTCACCAAACAACGCCGTTGTACAAAAACCACGAAAACGTCCCCAAGATGCGCAGAACCGCTCTGCATCGCATAGCAGCGTCAAAGCCACGATGAATTTGAAGACCCTGGCTGACCGGACCAGTGGTTGGTGGGGAGGTGGGGCAACACCTGAAGGTGCAAGGATCAACGCGTTACAGGAAGACTATACCACTTATTAAAATCTGAGGTGTGTATCTGTATGCTACGTACTTGTGCAATAGAATGATTGTGTTAAGATTTCACGCAGGATGATAATGGCGACAGGCAAATGATTCAAAAGGTCCTTGTGGCTGGCACAGAGTTTTGAGAGAGATAAAAAAAAACGAGAATCAGGTTTTGTTGCAGACTATGCAACGTCTATGTAGTGCAGTGCATCACAAATGTTAAGTTTGATGACATACACAGCGCTAAATCCTTTTTTTTTATGGGAAAGTTTCAATGTAACGCGTTATATTCTGCACCGTCACACCTTCCCAAACCCCCTTACCAACCACTGGTCAGCCCAAGTCTTCAATTTCATGGTGGCTTTGATTCAAACAACACCGACGCTGCTATGCGGTGCAGAGCGCTTTGCGTATCGCGGGGGCGTTTTTGTGGTTTGTAAAACGGCGTCGTTTGTTGAAAGAAGCAATTGACGTGGGCGAGCATTTGATCTTCACCATTTTTTTTTGGCACAATCCAGAACCACCGCTCCAACCAGTATTCTTATTCCCTGGTCACGCAGCGCCATGGCACAAGCTGGTTGATTGCACCCATCACACTACTTTCCTTGCGTCAGTGTTTTGCAAGACTCTCATCGTGAAAGGGGAAGACAAAGGCGAGAACAGGGTACTATCTTTTAGCATTTCGCTTGTAGCACACGTGAGAAGTGAAATTTCGCGTTACAGTCGCCCGATATAGTACTACTGCATGCAGCGGAACGGCTTAGTATTCTGTTCTGCTAAATAAGTTCAATCTCCTGCCCTGCACGTGCACACGTAACGGCTCTTGAGCGCGCAAGCAACGAGCTGCCCGCCGTACGGGTCACCCACGTTCGCCGGATACGTGCGCCAGGCGTCACACGGACAACACGCGCGGTCGGGCCGCATTGCGCCGCGGCTATGACGAGGCACGGCGGCGTCACGATGGCGGCGAGAGCGGCGGTGTTGGCGTTGGTGGTGGCGCGCTGCTGCATGCCCCTCGCACGCGCTGCTCCCGTGGCGGACGCTGAGAGTAAGCCGTCAAGCCGTGCTGGCAGCAAGTCCTTGACCCCTTTCTTCTCTCAACCAGTGCGTGTGCCGTACCGCCCCGTAAGCATGCAACATAAACTACTTTCATGCTCCCGTGGTGGACGCCGAGAGTAAGCCGTTAAGCCGAGAGTAAGCCGTTAAGCCGAGAGTAAGCCGTTAAGCCGAGAGTAAGCCGTTAAGCCGAGAGTAAGCCGTTAAGCCGAGAGTAAGCCGTTAAGCCGAGAGTAAGCCGTTAAGCCGAGAGCGAGCCGTTAAGCCGAGAGCAAGCTGTTAAGCCGAGAGTAAGCCGTTAAGCCGAGGGTAAGCTGTTAAGCCGTGCTGCACTGCACGCTGAGAGTAAGCCGTGATGCACCCTATTTATTATCTCCACATCCTCCTTTTGGCAGCCACAAGTCCCCAACACTAAGCGGCCGTGCCATGTGCCATATCACCCCAGGACCGTAAACCTATTCAGCATGCAACATGAACTCCGCACCAGCAACTACTAGTTAAACCTGGGTGTGTGACTCCAAGGTGACCTACAGGTCAATTTTGGGTTAGGTTGGGGTGAGACGTTTTTACAGTAGTCCTTATCTCTGCTCCTTGCAGCTGTCCCTCTTGCCATCCCCAACTCAATCATGCCTTTACCCTCTCCCCTTGCCTGTTCCTCTCACCTCTCCCCTTTTGTGGGGATGTCCCCAACACGTTCTGTGGCATGGTATGCTGCATTGCCGGGGGAATTGTATGGCACGGATGGACGAATGGCTTGAATGCATGGCAGTGGAAGCTTTGGAGAATCTGGCACAAGAATGGAACGAGGCCGAGAGTACAAGCACATGGAAGAGGGGCAGGGATTGCAACAGCATGGATGCCGTGGAGTGTGATAACGATGGGCATGTTATTGCACTGTAAGCATGTCATTGCACTGTAAGCATGTCATTGCACTGTAAGCATGTCATTGCACTGTAAGCATGTCATTGCACTGTAAGCATGTCATTGCACTGTAAGCATGTCATTGCACTGTAAGCATGTCATTGCACTGTAAGCATGTCATTGCACTGTAAGCATGTCATTGCACTGTAAGCATGTCATTGCACTGTAAGCATGTCATTGCACTGTAAGCATGTCATTGCACTGTAAGCATGTCATTGCACTGTAAGCATGTCATTGCACTGTAAGCATGTCATTGTATTGTAAGCATGTCAATGCACTGTAAGCATGTCAGTGCACTGTAAGCATGTCATTGCACTGTAAGCATGTCATTGCACTGTAAGCATGTCATTGCAGCGTAAGCATGTCATTGCACTGTAAGCATGTCATTGCACTGTAAGCATGTCATTGCACTGTAAGCATGTCATTGCACTGTAAGCATGTCATTGCACTGTAAGCATGTCATTGCACTGTAAGCATGTCATTGCACTGTAAGCATGTCATTGCACTGTAAGCATGTCATTGCACGTTAAGCATGTAATTGCACTGTAAGCATGTCATTGCACTGTAAGCATGTCATTGCACTGTAAAGATGTCATTGCACTGTAAGCATGTCATTGCACTGTAAGCATGTCATTGCACTGTAAGCATGTCATTGCACTGTAAGCATGTCATTGCACTGTAAGCATGTCATTGCACTGTAAGCATGTCATTGTATTGTAAGCATGTCAATGCACTGTAAGCATGTCATTGCACTGTAAGCATGTCATTGCACTGTAAGCATGTCATTGCACTGTAAGCATGTCATTGCACTGTAAGCATGTCATTGCAGTGTAAGCATGTCATTGCACTGTAAGCATGTCATTGCACTGTAAGCATGTCATTGCACTGTAAGCATGTCATTGCACTGTAAGCATGTCATTGCACTGTAAGCATGTCATTGCACTGTAAGCATGTCATTGCACTGTAAGCATGTCATTGCACTGTAAGCATGTCATTGCACTGTAAGCATGTCATTGCACTGTAAGCATGTCATTGCACTGTAAGCATGTCATTGCACTGTAAGCATGTCATTGCACTGTAAGCATGTCATTGCACTGTAAGCATGTCATTGCACTGTAAGCATGTCATTGCACTGTAAGCATGTCATTGCACTGTAAGCATGTCATTGCACTGTAAGCATGTCATTGCACTGTAAGCATGTCATTGCAGTGTAAGCATGTCATTGCACTGTAAGCATGTCATTGCACTGTAAGCATGTCATTGCACTGTAAGCATGTCATTGCACTGTAAGCATGTCATTGCAGCGTAAGCATGTCATTGCACTGTAAGCATGTCATTGCACTGTAAGCATGTCATTGCACTGTAAGCATGTCATTGCACTGTAAGCATGTCATTGCACTGTAAGCATGTCATTGCACTGTAAGCATGTCATTGCACTGTAAGCATGTCATTGCACTGTAAGCATGTCATTGCACGT